TATGAGGTGTATCCGTTCATTTTTCTAGCGACAGCTCTGGTTACAGGAATGGTATTGACAGGCTATTATAGTTTTACAAAAATCGAAGTTTGGGTGAATAAAGGTAGGTTATTAGTGAGATAAATTTCATGCATTTCACCACATAGCTGTGCCTCTTTTAGCTGGAGGCAGGGCAGCACCATGGGACTGGGAACGATCCAGAGACAACTACTGGAAATATGGCACCGTTTAGTGAGTCCTTTTCAAACGGAGGTTTTCTATCAGTTGAGGCCAACTGAGTACGTTCTGCTTCAGTTTTGACCCGGATGGCCGAACACGCAAGCGTTGTGAGTTGATGGAGATGCTTCAGGACGAGATGTTGGCAGCAGCGAAGAAAAGAGGAACGCGTTGATTTTCCGAGGAAAATTTGGCCGATTTTATCCTGAAAACGTGTTGCTATAACGTGTAGAAGCTTAGTAAAGTGTTAGGGTCACTGTTTTCTTCTAAGGAACTCTTGGCGCTGTTCGGCTTGGAAGGGACATTCTGTTCTTTCTGCTAGTTCTATCGCTGGTTCGTATTAACAACACTTGTGAAGCCGCAAAATGGTGCACTTGATTTGCAGAGAGGTCTCGCTGAGCATGATTTGTTGCCCCTACCAAGCCGAACTGCGCCAAACTCTGATATTTCGCATCTGTCCATGTAGAGAAGATATGTTCTTAAGAAAGTTCAATCGATTCATGTCGTGTAGATTTCAAAAAGCAGTGGGTGTATGGGGCAGGAAGCTGGCTTCTCGTCGATTGTCGTTGATGGATAGGGAAAAGTTGAACTCAACTCCTTTTATCACGTCAATTTTCTGTTTTTCTCTGCACTCTCTCTCGCCTGCGTAGTGTTTAAAAGGCAGCTGGCACGGTAAATCCCCCAGTTTGGCCACGAGATAATCCCAAAAGCGACTAGGTCAATACGCCTTGGCACGATGAATCCGCAGACCTGAGCACAGGCGCTGCATAGCGGCTATCTCCAATGAGAGGTGCCCTTATAAGGGCCCTATCAAGCCACAACATACCGACCCAAACGCCCTCCACGCCCGCCCGCCCACAAATGGACGACCGTTCCTGACGCTCGTATTCATTCATTTGCTGAGCAAATTATGAAGCGAAGGGCTTTGTATGCTGCATGGATATATGAGTACACATATGCAGCCGTACCTTCTTTAGCCGGTGGTTGGCAAGATGCCTTATGGGCAAACTGTCCAAATCTATTTATTTAGTAACTAAGAGACGAGCTTTCTTCGCAGGATTTTGACCGTTTCACTCCGTTCTTTCCTCATTTCCCCCACTATATATCACCCTACCAGCATTTTAGGCCGAGTAATAAACCATCGTGCCTTTAAGAGCGAGCTCACAAATTCCAGCTGTTCAGGTATGGTGGCTCACCCGCTCAAGTTTTCAAAAAATTCAGATCCATCTTTTGGATCGATTTTGGATTCTTTCCGCCTTTGTTTCGGTGGTGTTTTGGCAGCAGGGCACGCCATCGTTGTGATGATCACAACGGAGGGGGGTCGTATTTGACTGCGAGGGAGGGGCGATCGTATTTGGTGAGAAAAAATATTTTTTGATAATTGATTTCTCTTGTTCTACGGGCACCATAAAAGGGAGGGATCGTATTTTTCGTTGTTAGGAGAGGAGACTGCCAAAGATCTATACAATTTTACTAATTCCGACAATCGGAAATGATAGTTGGAATCCTGACGACTTCCCTTTTCTCCCCCCATCCCCCCCCGCCTTACCTTGCTCGCTAAAAAATTTTTTGGAATTTTCGGGGAAAACCAGGATGTTTTTTCCTCGGGAAAAATGCGAAAAAAACGAGTGGGTAGAAAGTTGTTGAAAAATCATAGGAAAGCGGGAAAGTTGGTAGGTAGCATGGGGAAAGGAGGGGTTGTGGATGGAATTAGGGGGGTCGTATTTTCAGGAAATGATTGAAGCGCGATGGCGTGTCCAGGTTGGCAGCCGCTGTTCTTTGTGGACAGCAGCTACAACGGCGACGCCGATCACTACCTCTCATAACTGGCTTTAGTAGGGCGCATTCCAGTGAATGAGACTCTAGGCAGGCTCTCACTCGCTTTCTCCACACACCGTAGCCCATTTTATTCTACCGACGAGGAGGATTGCTCTACATATTGACGCGACATAGGCCTTTGGACTCACAGTCCGCGTTGATTCCATAGGCAGAGTCAGCCTACCACATTCCGTTTTCACCATTAGCGACCCTATCACTACTGCGACATTGAAAATGAAGGCCTGTGTGGACGAAACGAACACGTCAGTTGGCCTGATCTCTCCCAGATAATCAGCGTGACCTGTACAGTTGTGGGAGTGTAAACTTGTATTTGTTTCCAGAGCGACTTCCTTCTCAAAAAACAGTTGTCTTTAAACCTCCACTGAGTATATTATCCGGACTATCTTTATCTTACACGAAATTTGTTACAAAATATACAACTTGGTTTTCAACGACGGAGCTTCAGTGGGACTGCTGAACTTGCGGCTATGACGATTTCAATTTGGCTTTTATGAAGTCCTTAACCTGAAAGACGTCATGCAGTGTTTTTCGTACAAGACAGATGTTTGCCCCCTAAAATCCCACTCCACACTTTCCACCGTCCAATATCGGCTGTTCGCGCGTAAAATCAATACCTATTTTGTAGCGGATCCTCTTTCAAAGCCGTCGCCTAGCAATCTGAACTTCGCGCGATCAACCATGTTGCCGACAGTCCAAATTCCCCGTGAACTACCATCTATCCTTGGCCCACAGGTTTTCTGCTCTCGTAGATCGAATATGCTACCAGAACATTTACCAAACACACGAAACCAACCATTAGTAGGTAAAACATAATAGCAATAGAGCTTATCTCACGGCGAATAACATAGTGAAACAATTACAAAAAGCAATTTCCGTGAGAGATAAGATAAGAGATAGGATTGCCATGGTGAATGACTCTTTTTTGACTACATCAGGCTATCGGATTCCATTGCATTCTAAAGGTACGCTCTGCGTCCAGAAATGGTGGTTTGTGTTGCTCATATACGAATGACAAGGTGGTATATAGCACAAAAGTGTGAAGAAAAATGCCACTAGAGAGCCCAGCCCGTATGCTCGCATGTACAGCCCCTTGGGACCGCACTTGTCGTGCATAAGCGCCAGGGGAGGGAGGCTGGGCCGGAATTCTATTTGTTTTGATGAGCTCCTCTCACCTCGATTTAACAATTTGAATCAGGAGAGGCAGTAGTCGATGAAGCGCCTGATCAGGTAGCTGTAAGCAATGCTTGTTGGGCGTCGCCGTGACCAATGGGCGGAGCCGCGGTTCCATCGCGAGACGCCGACCTTCCTGCTCGTTATGAGAGGAGACACGCTGCTTTGCGGCACATTCAGTGGTAACCGTTTGGCGTAGAAGTTAGCGGAGGCTACAGATGATGTCGCTTCCCATCTGTGGTGCCCGCCTTAGAAAGGATGGCAGCAACAGTGCGAGAGGCGCAGTAACTGAGACGGCCCGCCTACCTCTCCGCCTATCCTATCACAGAATATACTATTCACATTCATAAGGGACTTCACACTTCAACAGGTGGCAATGCTCTTCAAGTCACTCCATTACTTTTGCGCTTCAGAGCTCTAAACGAGAGGTAGTGTATTGTGTTCTTCAAGCGTAAAACGCTAAAGCAGCAAGTCCAGTACGGTGCGTGCAGGAATGAAGACTTGATTTATCAGGTTGAGCAACGCGACGACCAAGAGGAGCACAGGTAACGCGGGCGGAAATTATAGATGAGCTATTCTTATTATTTTAGAATAGCCATCATTGAGCCTTCCAACAGTGGCAGGTGTTTCGGCTTAGATTTCGGCTTCTTTCCCTCCTTCAAAGCTTGAAAAGTTGGGAATATTTGAGGCTGTTCTCTTCAAAAGCCTATATGAGACTAGCGAAGGCAGTCACCCTATGCTGGTAAACCTATTGAGAAAACCGTGCAGTAGACGGACCATTCTGTGCATTCTATT